TTGGACAATAGTGATTATTCAGTAGGATGCATGTTAGCAGGTTTCAGGAGATGATGGCTCTGGTCTTGCTGCAAAACTGTTTCCTGTGTCTGAGTATGTCATAGGGTAGAAGGGAACTCTGTATTTTGGGAAATTATTGCACAAACAAGATTGTCTTATGACATATTTCCCATCTGACATCTATGACAATAGCACAGCAAAAAGAATTTCAAGAAGTCATTGGGGTAAAAGAAAAGACAAAAAAAAACAAAAACAAAAACAAAAACCCTGCAAATCAGCTGTGAGGGAGGAAACTTCCATTTTAATTATAAACTCTAATTCTAGTCAATGTTAAAACTGGTTTGGAATTTTCCTAATGAAAAATTTTCACAAAGGATTCATTTCGGTTCTCTTTTCTTGTTATTGTTTGGCAGTCAAGGTTGGAGCTAGATCACGCTATCCCAAAGACCCATTTGAGTTCAAGAACACGACTTACAATTCTCGGCTTGTGACCGAGCCAGGTGAAGGAGTTCTGGAATCCATCCCAGTTTTTAATAACCGCACCCCTCAGTGTTCTACCTTCACATGCTGAGCTCAGTGGAAGAAGAAAGACGTACTACTGTGGATTTCAGCATGCACTTAGCTTGTTGGGCAGCAAAGTCCTGAAGAGAAAACCCCTAAAAAAAATGAGAAATAATAATTCAAACTACCCTCCCCCAAAACTAGCAGCTTGCACTAGACTTCAGTTGGAAGCCCTGTTAGCTAGATGCCTTTGCGTTCAAGCCACTTTGCATGCCTCTTACTCTGAGTGATTCCAGTGTGAATATGACATTACTAATGACCTGCTAAGTGTGTGCAGATGTGGGTTTCTCCAGATGTGGTGATTAATAACGTAATGGAGATAGCCAGTTGACTCATGTTTATGGATTGTTTGCCTTTTATTACGTTTCCGAGTTTATTTGCTTTGAACCATTTTTTAACTGCAGCCAACAAACTCACCTTTGAGTCTCAAAGGGCATCATCCCCCTAAAAATCCTGTTGAGGAAACAGGGAAAAAAAGAAATGTGCCCCAGGCTGGAGCTAAGCATCCGGTCCATTACGGGGCAGCACTGGATGGACTACTGAGGAAAGCTTAAAACTGGAATCGTTGCCCCATTTTACTCAAAGTGCCCACAAAGAGGCATTGGGGAATCTTGACACAGTGTTTGCAAGCTGGCTAGGCCAGTAAAGAAAGGGATTTTTCATTAAAAAAAAAATCAGTGACGTATATGATCATCTTGAAGTGAGCCCAGAGTTCTGGCCAGGGTTTCTGGAAGATGTTGCCTTGCTTTTGCTGGAAAACAGAATGCCGATGAAAAGTTGAGTAAAATGTTGTTACAGATGTTCGACTCTGCATTAAGGCTGTTGGAATTACCACCACATCTTAAATCAATTCCCAGAACATTGTCTGGAGGTTATGTCATTGAAATAATGAATCCTCTTTAGTCAAGTATAAGCAAACATGTTAAAACATCGTTGTAACTTTAAATTAAACTCCAGCGCAAACCAAGGGATCTGAAGCCTCATTAGACTTGCCTGACATTTTTCTTGCACGGAGTCTTCCCCAACTGTAAAACTGTTAGGTTCAGTGCCTATTAGACAAGCGAGCCCTGGGAAGTTACAACAGCACATTAAGTGTTATACTTAGGGATGTGCAAAAACAAGCCCTTGAATTTTATGAGTACTTGGAGACTGGATGGAGTTCAGCTCCTATAAAAATTCCACATTGGATTCCTGAACTTGTTTGTGTTTTAAAGAAGCTGGTAAGTCAGGTTCCTTTAAAAGATCATGTCTTCATGCAGCTTCCACTGCAGGAAGACACACATGGAGATGCCAGAGACAGGGATGTGTTGTAATTAGCCAGAAACCAGGCTGGCTATGATCCTGTAAGTGTGCCTTGGCATAAGGTAGTGGCCCATTACTTCACTGTGTTTGTCTTTCATGAAAGCAAGTAAATTTAAGTCTCCCTTTTAACTCAATTTGTATGTCTCTCATGAAGCCACAAAAGCCATGAAATGAAAATTCTATTTTATAGCTTAACTAAAAGTTTTCCTAGATCTGCTTTCTTTAAATATGCAGAAATTGATAGGATCCATGTACAGGATAGTAATCAGATATGGCTTATGTCCTACTTAGGAGAAAGAAGTGATCACTGCTTCTCTTGTGGGACCTAAGCCATATGTAATGGTCTCCATCATGCAACGTTCATATATTTAAGCTGGAGACAGTTTCCCCCATCTCTTCAGGGAACGGATCTGCGTTTCCAGGCCATGAGTGCAGGAGGAAGCCTTTGAATGTGCGTTCCATGTAAGAGAACAAATCCCAGTTCCAGTGCTTTATGATTATGATAGATGATCTTTCTGAGTCACGATGAAACTAAATAGTTTCCTTGCCTAGAAGGAGGCATGACTTTAGCACCAGAACAAGGTGTTTCCCTGGAGCTGGCAGAGCTGGCAGACAGGTATTAACTTGCAGGTCTTCCACCTGAAGATCACTGCAAGTAAACAGACAGCGACAAGGTGCGAGGATAATGGGCGCTTAACCAGAGAGGGTTGTGTATTGTAGGCCGAGTGCAGATGGAGAGGAGAGAGTGAAGTTAAGCAAAAGAATCTGACAGAAATGCCAGTGAGTGTGACTTCTTAACAGATACAGACTCCATGTATAATTGGACAAAACCATGGCAACATCTGGTGGCCTTGAATAAAGCTAGCAGAGTAGACTTGGTTAGGTGAAGGACCTTTGGGAATATTTCGTTCTAACCAGGAGAAGAAGAGAACTTTCACCCCCTACTAAACCCATTCACACACACAGACAGACAGACAGACAGTCACACACACACACACACACACACACACAAGATTTAGTCCATTATGCTACTCAACTAATGCTAGGTCATCCTGAACACAATGCAACCACCGCAAGTGGTCTATATTAAAAGATGACCCTCTGTTATAGGGGTGGAGTCAATGCAAGACTTTCTACCCCATTCAAAGGTGGGGAAGGTGTAAAAGTACACTTCCACACACGTACATTCTCTCTCTCTCCTCTCTCGCTCAGTCTCAGTCTCACTGCCTTTTCCCCCCATTATTGCCTGGGATGCCGGCCCCCTGTCCTCTAAAAGGAAGATGAATGCAGGTCAAGCTCTGAGTGCCTGTTTGCTTGCTGAGAGATGCATATCACCTCTAAGTGACTTTTTTTCGGTACCATTTATGTGGCTTGTATTTATTTCCTTTAATCTTTTAAGTGCTATTTAGTCTCTGGGTGATTTGCTGTGGATACTCATTTCTGATAAGATGCGATATCCTCCCAGCCACATAGTTCCTGCCTGGACCCCTAAGTGACTGATACGGTCGCAGCCTGAGCCTGGGCCCCCAGGGGAAAGGGCGGGGGAAGCAGGGGGACAGGGTGTGGCATTTGCAGGTACTTTCTTGCCATCATAGCTCCTGGTCATGCTCTCACCTTGAACCCCATTCTCGTTCCCTTTCTCTGTGTCATCTAGAAGTTAGCCAACTCCAGACTGACAGTAGAATAAGGGACTTCACAGAGTGTGATACTTTGAAGCAGGTAGTTGAATTATTATAATCCCTTTGGAACCATGTTATCATACATGCTAAATTAGTGTTCTTAGGGAAGTACCACAATGCATGTTCCGATATGGGTCCTCCTGGATAGTATCAAGTAGCTGAGATGGCCTTTCCACCCCTACCTAAGATGTGCACACCGTTAACTTGTATCTGGTTTCTTTTGATGTCGCCACTGCTAATATTTCTCTTCTTAGCTTTAAGGTAACTGCGTGCATTTCGAGTTTCAGGGTTGCTTCCACCCAGTCTGTGTTGCAGTCAACTATGAGTGCGAGGACCCTATTTTTCCTTCTTGACCTTACAGCTTTGGCCCCAAATTGTGTAGGGGTGGGGAGAGGAAGACTAAAATTTTGCTGCCATTGCCCTTGGGTGATAGGCTGTGTATGCATCTGCTAATTACCAAGCAGCTCTCTTAAAAAGAAGCATGATGCAGGCTAATAACGTCTACAGAGCTTTTAAGTGGGTGTCTTTGAAGCAAAAGCCGTAGAGTGTGCTGTGTTGTTGGTGGACAGAGGTTCCCATTGCTTAGCGATCTGTGTGGTTTAGCCATTTGGAAAACAACCTGTGGTTTCCAATCCCGTCTGCTGCCCTCACTCCCTGCCCCGCACCCCATCATCAGAGATATCATTCAATGGCAACCTCCTGCTTCATTTGGGCGCTCTTCCCTGGCCTGGTTCTCCAGCCTTGCAGCCTGGTCCTCCCGTCTTAATGAATTAAGGAAGGGCCCCTCCCTATGTGCACGTCCCCACGTGCCCTGTCTTGGGAGCTGGAAGGACAGGAGCCGAGTTGGGCTGGGATTCTTGAGCCAGAGCACACCGATGTTCCCAGTCCTGCCTGACTGAAACATTGGCTGTTCTGGCCTCAGATCCTCGCCTCTCTCCCATGCTCTTTCCTCTGGCGTGCAGGAGTTAGGGACCAGTTACAATGGTTCCTTTGCCGAAGCAGCACGCTGGCAGCTCTTAATGCTGCTACTTCAAATACCACTTTATTTCTGATTTTGGTTATGAGAAAAACTATTTGGTGACCCAGCAAAGCAAAGCAAAGTCACCAAAATTCCTTCTAAGCGTCATGATGGAGTGTTCCCAGATGTAGATGCACATGTATTTGTGTACAGATGAATGATCATTTCTTTTCTTTCTGATGGCAGGGTGTTTACAAAGGGTTTTAGCCTGTTTAAAGTGCATGTTCAAACGCTGGAGTGTTAGGAGGTGGCGCTTTCACCTTTTCTAAGCCGGCCTCTCTGACTAACGCATTGGTCTTTGTCATTGGGTCCTAAGAGACGGCCATGAATTCCCTAGTGAGTGCCTGAGCCGTGAGTGTGTGTCCTTTGATATATCTTGCCTGTATTTTGCAGTCCGCCCTCACACTGTTCATAATCTCATGAGCTGCCTGTATTTCCAGTTGAAGATGAACAGCCATCAACACTGTCACCCAAAAAAAAGCAGCGGAACGGAGGCATGAGGAACTCACCCGGCTCCTCACCCAAGCTGATGAGGTAAGGTGAGGGGCCGAGGGCCACGCGGTTCCCCCTCTTGCTCCATCTCCCTCCCCCCACCCCTCCCCACCCTGCCCCGGGGGCCCAGAGTCTCCCCTCCCCAGCGAGCTCCAGGCGGGGAGGGGACCAGATCGTTAGATGGCTTCTTAAAGGCTGGAGTATTTATTCTGTCAGCTTGTCAGCAGTTAATGATAGAGCTGGAAAAATTCTGTCATGAAAAACAGTTTGAAAAGCTGTTTGAAAAATACATAGGCTTTAAAGTCGGAGCTGTCACCATGTCCTGTCTGTGTGTAGTTCCTAAACAGCAGTGGCACTAATGACGGCAGCAACCAATCAGAGGAGCGCGTGTGGTGAGCTTGCCTCCGGCAAGTCTCTTTCTGCTGCCGGCCCTCCGAGGACTGTTTCTGTACTTAAGGCCATATGTGAGATGTATCATCACAATCAAAAATGGACCTGAAGATTACCTTCTCTTTATCCTGTCGATTGAAATCACATTTCTGTTAATTGATTTTGACTGATTAAAAAAAAGTCTAATAATCTGTGGACTTGCCAAAGCAAAGTTCAAAAGTAATCCAGTTCTGCTCAGGCTAAAAGCAGTATTAATTATGAAATGCACGCTTTTTCTCTCTCTCTCCTCCCTCCTGCCCTTCGTTCCACCTCTCCTTCCTCCTTTCCTTCCTTCTGTCTTGACCACAGCTTCCTCTAGGAAGTGGCAAATGGAGCCAATTTCCAGTAGAGTTCTGCTCAGTCCTCTTCTTGGACTCCTCCTCCTTCATCTCCCTTTTTTGCCTGCAGTTCATCTGCCAGTCCCAAGGTTGGTCTCCTCCAACATCCTAACCCTCTAGCACCTCAGTGAAACCGTAGTGAGTTCAGATTTGCACTGCTTTCCCTCCACGGTTCTTGCCACAGAAACACCTGCCGTCCTGACGATAATTTTTTCTTCTCGTTGCTGTTAGCCATTCTCCTCTCTTTGATTCTTGAAACAAAATAATGGTGATCTCCTCCTCCCTCCTCCCTCCTCTGAGCATTTGCCTCTTCCCGGCTCTCCATGGCCACCTTTCTAGGATGGAGACAGGGCAGTTCTTCTCCAGGTGGTGGAGGACACGGGTCCCAGGAGAAGACTCACTCAGCCCCGTGTCCTTTTCCATCATGATCCTCTTTCCCTGTTAAGTGTTTCCCTAGCAGTCCTCTTCTGCCCCTCCACTCGGTCTTGCATGGGGGTTGCTGATTTACATACTTGTTTACAGTTTATGAGGAGGAAGAAAATGTGCCAACTGCCAACCTTCTCGTTTTTATGATGCCAGTTGTCGCACTAGCATCCGTTCTGTGTTTACTCGCCTTTAGGTAATCGCCTGATCCAATGCTGATCATTTTATCCATTTAAAGTAGAGAAAAGCCCGGGCGCTTTTCTTTCGCCTAAATTTAGAGACGCAAATAAATAAATAAAGAGAAGTCTGAAAAATCTGAAACCTTTGGAGCCAAATTCCCTGTCCCTGTTTGCTATGTAAAGTATGGTTCCTTTCTTTGATCTTGAGTAATAATAATTCTGAGGAGTTACACTCTTTTCATATGCTTCAAAGCTGTGTCAAAGTTTTGCTGCTTAAGGGTGCTTCTTTATTCTGTTGGCTCTTGGGTACCAAGATGACAGGTCTTCTGTACGAGGTGGAAGCTTTTTTAAGTCGTAGCCTTCAGCAAAACATCAAATTACCAAATCCAGGGTAACATACTTCTACACAAATGCCTTTCCTGTAGATATATTATACCATCTATATTAAATACTTTAGTGTTACACGCTACATTTTATGTGCAATAGAAAGTGATGGTTTGAGGTAGCCTTGGGGGGACTTTTTTTTCCACAAGCAGAAAAAGCTAGTGTATACTGTATCAAGTATGGTTTTTACAGGACTTTCTGCCCGAAGGCCTTTGTAAATAAGTAATGATCAACAGATTGGCTGTGGGTTTTTGAAAAGCATGCCTATGTCAGTTTGCATGATGGGGGAGAATTTTCAAAGTGGGTCTTGCTTTCATTGCCTGTCGGAGAAGGGCTGAGGGAGGCAGTCATCCTGGGCTGGAGCTGTCTGCTCTGTGATACATCAGAATTGCTAAACGTAGGTCAGGCGGAGAGCTGAAACTTGCCAAGCTACACAACTCGGGTTTGTGGTGTCGGAGCCTTTGGGCTGCTGCTCTGGCCATGGCTGTTGTCACTGGGGCATTTTACCCCACCAGCCACAACCATCTCCGTGGCTGGAATGGACTATATCCGTGACAAATCAGAAAGTCTTAGACCCTCCTCCTTCACCATGACTTTCTGTGTTCTAGGTGTTCTTAAGACTCTGTCTGATGTGGGAGCCCAGACAGGGTGCTGAGCCCTCTCCCTTTCCCTTCCTTCCCAGGGTATGGATGAAGAGCCTGTGGGCGGTTTGGTTCAGTTTGAATCCCAGCCTTGGCGATGAGGTTTCCAGGGCTGATTTTTTTCTAGCTCTCTCTCACCGATTGACAAAAAACCGATTGGCTCCTGCACCATCTTGCAGCTTCTCTGCGTTTCCCCCACGTCTTCAAACATTCCCTTTCTACTCTCCAGAAGATAGGACTCCCAGGTCCTATTCCTTCTGACCTGAAGCATCCATAAAGGAGGCTAATGACTTATTTGAAGTGGGCGTTTCGACACGAGTTTGTGGCTTGCAGCTTGAGCAGAATCAATCATTCTGCACACGGGCAGGTTTTAAAGGCCTATGGGCAGTGATAGGAACAGCTCCAGGAGGAACCTGAGAGCCCGGAATGGGCTGGGATGGGCTTTCATTTACCGCTGTGGCCCCCTACACATAAAGCCAGCTCCTGCGTGAGGGGTCCTGGCAAGCCGTCTGCCTGCATGAAATGCAGCAGGGCCTCTGCACCGATGGGCTTTGCCTCCCCTTTGTTCTGGGATGAGGCCTACCCTGGTTTCTAAGGGGCACTTAACTCTCTGCACAGTCATCAGATGAGCAGCCTCGTTTGGGGTGTCTGGGTCCTGATGCAGCATGTTGTGCGGTCGCCCCTGCAGAAGACAGCCCTTACGGCCAGACTGAGCCCCGCAGCGAGCGTCTGCGCTCTAGGCCAGGGGTCCGCGTGTCCTGCCGGGTGCCTGTGGCTTCATGCCCCGCGGAGGAGCGGCCAAGGAGGTGACCAGGGCTGTGCTGCTCACCTCCCGGTTGGTCTCTTAGCAGGGAGCTGTTTAAGGAGCCTCTCCTAGTTTTCCTCGAAAGTCACTAAGCACCTGCTGCCCAGTTCTTGCCACTCAGTGGGTTCGTGTCCTGGAAGGAAAACTGTGTCTTCCTTCAGCGGCAAAGCTTTAGAGGGCAAGAACTTTGTCTTTAAATAACTAAGTCAAAGCTGCTTAATTTGGGGCCCTCCCAGACCCTACTGAATAGCCAGTGAAAGTTCCGTAGAAAGTCTTTCTAGGGAAAAAAAAAGATCCATTAGATACCATTTTTGACGACAGTTGAAAAAGGTCCACGGATTCCCTAAATCCCCGTCCTCGTTGCCAGTCACATTCAGTCCATCCCACAGCCCTCTTCGAGTAGTTACCTTCCCAAACGCCTCTGGGCTGCTGAGAATGTATCTTCAGTGGGTAGGCAGTATGGAGGAAATGCTGGATCTCTTTCTGTCCTCCAGTGCACCTCAAAAGGTTTTCCTTTTTTTTTTTCCAGCAGCCTGTTTCTATTTCTTTTCTCAGATTAATTCTTATCTGGGTAATGTTTAGAGAAAGCCTACTGTATTAAAGATGTTGTGGAAGGTCTTTGAGGGGTGTAAAGTAGGATGGGTGACCGTCTTCAAATTAAATGGCATACATGTGTTCAAAATGCTCACGGTTTAATGGAGCAGACAGACAGGCGTATGCAGCACTGTCGTAGAAGGACAGTTGAGAGATCTCCCAGCATGGGCTGGGAGAGCAGAGAGAGCTGCCATTACCTCTGGTTTGGGACGCCCAGCCTGGTTTGTGAAGGAGATTTTATTTAACTTAGCCTCGGATTACCTACTCCTGTCCACTGTCTTACCGGGGACCGGGCATCGTTCCAAGAGCGTTATGCCTGTTGATTCACTGACTCCTGACCTCAGCTCCGTGAGGAGGGATTGCCCTTTCCTCCACTTTACAGATAAGGAAGTTGAGTCCCAGAGATGTGAGGCATAATAAATCTAGTGAGTTGTACCTAAGTAGGAAGACCTGAACCCAGATGGTCCAAAACCCGTATTGTTAACTTCTTCACTCTTCTGGCCAGTGGAGGGAGTAGATGTGGCTGGAGCAAGGGGTCCTTAGACTGGCGTAACTGGGGTTGAAAATAGGAGATTCTGGCACCCAGTCTTGAGAACCTCGCCTGCCATAGGCAAAAACCTGGCAGGGTTTCAAGGAGACAGTGCCCTGACTTGTGTTGGGAGGTGCACTGATGGCAGGATAAAGATGGCTTTAGAATCCTCCATGAGGGCCTTCTGGAGACACATGTTGCATAAATTCAGAAGTGGGAAGAGAAGGCCCAGCCCTGCCCCAGCCTCTGCCAAGGTCCTTTGGGTGCCAGACAATTCAGGATCTGCTGCAGAATGGCGGACCAGAAGTGGGCTACGCTGTCTTCCCAACAAGACACACAGCCTTCCTGACATCAGATACACCTCCTTCTCCAGGCACCAGGGGACGGGGTGTAAGATGCCGCGGGCCATGAGGATTTAGCCAGCACGGGTTGGGCGAACACTCTACACAAAGAGATAGCCCCCAGCCAGGCTAGCAAGGATAACCGACAACACCAAAACAGACGCTGAACTCCTTGAAAGGAGCTTCATGTCAGAAGACCTGGGTAACATTAGATACTCGTTTTCTGAATGAGAGTGGAAATATGATTTGAGGAAAGCAGATTCTCCTCCTGGACACTAACTGATCATTAAGTGAAATAAACTCCTCTGCTTGTGAAGTCCCATCCCCTCTCTTTTGACTCATACCTTCCGTGGGGTCTTTTCATTAGGACTGCCAGCCT